ACTCCCGTGCAAGCACGCCTAACTTTAGAGTTCTTGGATGATGAGCTCCCTTAAAAGGAGATGCACCTCTGTTTGTATAAGTAGTACTATTAATCCGTTTACATTAAATCTCAAGTGTTACAGATGATCCGTCTCTGGTCTTTGGTGTTATCTAGTAACGTTAACTCCCTTGTTGACTTTCCTTGACTTTGGCTGACCTTGCGTTTGTGTTAGAGATCGGAGCTATTAGTATATATGTCCTAGCAACAATCACTTTTTAGAGATATATGTACCTGATCACATTCAATTTTATATTTGATATATACGGTATTACACATTGATGATTAAGTATTTCGATTGTCAATATCTTATTCATAATTATGTTCCCTTGGATTTATGTTGTCAATAAGTAAGTGGGAGCTTATATGATATAACATAAGGTCCTAAAATAGTCCCAATCAATGATCATCAAAAAAGGGATATTGATGATATGCGATAAGATTGGTATATGGATTGCATCATACTTTTAGAAAGTATAGTTGATCTCACAACTATGAGTTCCTGTAATTCATGATGGTCACACAGATATTTTAGAGAATATTGGCATACCCACAGAGAAACCATTTGATAAGTTCTACTCATGTGTCTATGGGATTATCGGCATATAGAGTGGTGTAATAGTTCTCCGACTTGAGGTCAATATGTACTACATGTGCAGAGTGATATACTTTGACCATGACCAACGCTTGCACTCCAGTCGGGGTAGATACGACGTGTTGGGTGCATCATGAAACACATGGAGTAGTAGTTGAGCCAAGAAAGGATTCATTCCTCGTAATAGATTAAGAGAGAACATTTTACTTGTCATAAGGTCATTGACCAATGCAAAGATATATTCATTTTGGATATCAAATATGATCGTTATGGATCATCTAGAAAGATTGAGACACAGAGACTATGTTATTGGAATAGACACAATATCAAGTTCTAGACTTAGTTGAATGTTCATTGAATGAAAGGACCGTATCACTATGAGCTCTATATTACAGGGAGTTTGAATTGACCGGCTTTTGTGGGGCCTTTGTGGCCTTTAATTTGACTGGCGATTATGATACCCCTGAGGTATTTGAGAATATACTCCATCAGGCTCTTAGAAAAAATGAGAGATACGAGAGAAATATTTATTTTTTGCAAGACATTGTTTGATCCTAAAGAGAAGAAGAAAAAGTGAAGCAGAGCATTGAAGAACCCAAAGCCTAAGAGAAGATAATGTTGTTTGAGTTAAATTCTCAATGTAAACTCATTTGTTATCATTGGTGGTCTTTTGTTTGTTTCTTTTGTTATGGACTTGTTGATGATTTGAACTTGCTGAAAACTTGACTTTACTCGAGAACGAGTAAAGAAACTATGTATGGAAGTGTTGATATTGTTGCAATTTCCGATTGTATGTTTGCACTTTTATTTAGTTTTGTTATTTGTTATTGTGGCAATTACTCACTTTTGGTGTAATACTTTAGTTTTCTAAATTCTTGTAATTTATTTACAATAGGACTTTTCTGAGCATAAAACAGATCAAGATCATCCAGAGGATCAAAGAATGGATCCCAAAGACCAAGGAATGTGCAAAGGGACAAGAGAAACCATTGATTTGAAAAAATTGCTCATATTCCCGGTTGGGTATATGCCATATGTGATAGGGTATTTGCTTGATTCAGCCATCTACATCAAATCCGGGAAGGCAAAAGATTGTGGCTGATGAATATTTTGAAAAGATAGGTCTCATACCTGATCGGGTAGTCCGACGTACCCGGTCGGGTATTGCCGGATTTTGCAGCTTTTGGGAAACTGCCTCGGTACCCTATCAGGTACCTTATATACCCGGTTGGGTACATGACTTGCCACCTCCAAACACCTATAAATACACCCTTTTTTCTTCCCATTTAATCACCAACTCACATATACCTCTAAGCTCAGTTTAGACAAATATTTTCTTTATATTTTCTAGCACGTTTAGTCTTCAAATGAGAAGCTAAATCCTTCCATCTTGATTTTGCTACATTGAAACTTGTGATTTGTAAGTTGTGAGTTATTTTCTGTAATTGTCTTCCTTGAATATTAATTACATTCCTATTTAAATTTCATATTAATATTTGGACATTACTTAAGGGATCAACTAATTTTGTTTTCATATATTAATTATTACTAGAATCTATCGACGGATACGCTTGTTATTCGCTTGGTCCTTTCAACAGTAGTAAACTTGGATTATTAATGCATGCATCTCATGGTTAATAATCTAAGGGAGATTAATTATATTGATTAAATCAACAAATCACTTGTGTTGGAGTTGTCTATCTCAGTTGATTTCATATTAAGTTTTATTGCTACTATCGGGTCAATATAAGGCGCATGTTGTACATTGACTAGATAGTACATTTTATTAATGAACGTGTTTCATTGTTAATAACTAACCTCGATGAATTAGAAGTACTCCACGACTGAGTACTCAAGAGGAAGATAGTTAAAGATATAACCAGAACCGATGAACATTTTACTAAGTGGATATAAGTAAAACCAAATCTTCATCTCTATTAATTTAAATGGCATAAGTCATTCATCTTAGTGTTTAAATATTATTAAGTTCAAAACACTCTTAAAACACTTTTGTTACAATTTCATAAAAATGAAATATTACTTTTCCAGTGGATACGAACCTTACTATGCTATACTACAATACCAGATCTAGTATTGATTTTATTTTGAGGCACAGAACGGCATTTAGTGTCGTCACTCATTCTCGTTAGTTATCGTTTGATGCACCCAAGAGTAAAGCACGATACTTGAGCCTGTAAACTAAACACAGTTCACTTAAAATAGATGTAGTTGTATAATTGTGGTAAAATTCAATTGTTTTTTTACCGAGTTAAGTAAGTTTATTGTTTTATCGACAGATTAACACTAGCTTAACCGGTACACGCTAATATCTCGATAGAGTGTAAGCATATATTAGAATCAAATGTCACTTTAATTGCTTAAAGCATCACATTCAATTTTCTATTAATATGTTGAGTATGTGGTTTTGTTGATGACTAACCATGCAGGTGGAACGGGGCACAGAACTATCCTCAGGTCCAAATGGACATTATTATCGTGTTGTTAACTAACCATGCAGGTGGAACTAAGGCATAACCATTTCTAGTCTCGTAATATGGTTTGAATTAATATTGATTGCACCTACTTGATTCTCAATTAATGTTCTTTCTTTATATGAGTGATCATACTTTGTCAAGAATATTATTTTAAGCAAAAGTATTTTTCTATGCATGGTCACTCACTATATACGTAACTTGAATTATTTATTCTCTTCCATGCATGACTTGGCATTCACTAATTAAATATAGTTTAATACTTTATGGAAAGTATCTTTACTTGCTATAATGTGAGTGCATGATTTATAAATGGTAGCATGACCATTATATACGTACTTTTCAATTGAGCTACTTATTTTCTTTCCATGCTTGATAAGACTCCACTCATTAATATAGTTTAATGATTTATGAAAAATATTCTTGCTATCTTTATTGATGGAACGTAGCATTTGAATTTGCAAATAAAGGGGTTGTTTTGCTTAGAGTATTAAATAAACATTTTCGCTATATTACTTAGCATTTATGAGATCAATGATTTGCTTTATGGAAGTTGACCATGTGATTCATTTACTTGTTAAAGTAAATATCTTTACCATAAAGCTATCTTTTAAGATATTTTAAATGGGATGCTGGCTTTTGTGTATAGTCCGTTGCATGGTTATTTATGGTAGGTGAATTATTCTCTTGATCAGTGCACATATAAGATCGTTGATTCAACTCAAGATAGAAGGCATTTTTCAAAATGAAACAAGGCAAGAATCCCTATTGATCTACTCAAGGAAAGAAAGCTCCAACGGATTCATTCCAAGCAGCTTATATATTCGAGCAACCAAAAGGAAAACAGTGTGCTTGACCGAGAAAATATCAAGAGAAACACTCAAGAGAAATACTAAGTCCAAGGCACCTGAAACTGCTCTCGGAGTTCTAGACAGAGTTCTTATTCCCTTCTTATATTGTAATTGGGTTATTGAGGACGAGATAAGAGTAGCTTCCTCGGGTTGGGATCAAGTGTGTTGTGAGGGCTTTGCTGTAAAGCCGAGAGGCTCTCTATCCGCAAGGTAGAGAAGCGAAACTCTTCCTAGAGAGGATAGAGTTGGGGAGGCTCAAGGGTAGATTAGGAGAATCACTCTTGTAATCTTTCAAAGGCTTGTTTAGTGAAGTTGTTTAAAATTCCTCCGAGGGAGGTCGAGGTTTTTTAATCCCTTTTGAGCCAAGGGATTTTTCCTCGTTAAATTCTTGTGCACTTTACTATTTCGCAACTCTCATCTCCCCACACTAGAACTGTGCGAAAAACTGCCACGGTTCCACACACACACAATTCACCCCCCTCTTGTGTTGCTAACCGTTTTCATCATAATATCAAGCGTATATCCCAAATCCTGAGAGCCATTTTATACAAGATTTATTTGTCATTGTGTTTTTACTCCATGCTTTAAATTATCAAACCAAAACAAAATCTATTTTTACCTTTGATAGAAATTTAAACCATTGAAGTTGAGTTTGTGCTCCTTGCGAGGTTGATCATAAAATACTCTAGGTTTTACTATGATCGATCTGTACACTTACAAAATTTAGCAATCATATTTTTGCGCTGTTGCAGGGAGCGCTTAAATGGATTTTTTGGTGTATGTTTCTATTAAATTATTTTTTAACCCATTTAATTATTTATTTATTACTTTCTTTGTATTTTAAAGTTTGATACACTATCCTTTTTAGTATATATTTAAAAGTTTCTATTTTTGGTAATTTTTCTTTTAACCATACTGAATTATGCTTACTTTTTTCAACATTTTATTTATCTTTCATACTTTTCCACTTTTTATCCTACTTTTTCTAGTGTATTCAATACTCCTACTATCTTTAAATAATGTGTCAAAATATAAAGTAGCATTCTTTAAAATACTGAGAGTATATCACTTCATTATGCGTCACATGTTTTTAGGAAGTGCAAGTTTTTATGAGATTCAAGGATTCAGAAATCTTGACTCATAAAAATCTCTACGTCTTATTTTGGTCATTAATTTTTCACATAGTAGTAATAACTTATTTTCTCTATATACCATACCATCATGAGATAACTATGGTTTCACTTCTGTGCCAATCATAAAGAAAATTAAATGAAGGAGTCTCCCCAAAGTCTTCATTTATCCTCCAGAGGAATTACCGATAAAGTTAAAGTTTCAGAAGGAAGAAGGACAAACAGAAGATTTATGAAGAACTCCCAGCTTTCATGGCCTCGTATTTATGGCTTTGGATGCAAGAAAAGACAGAAGTCCTGTGTTTCTTTGGTTTGGTTCCAAAGATTATTTCCCTTAAGGGAATTCCAGTTCTGCTCTTTGATTTTCGGACCTTTTTAACTACATATCCAGGTTCAGCAATCTTCTTTTCATCGGTAAAAAGATTTAATTTTTGATGTAAATAACGTATCTCTGCATCTCTTTTTGCAATGGCACCTCTCAGACCATTCATCTGCAATTCAATTTCAAACCCCCCAACCCTATCATCATATTTCTTCTTTAGATCTTTGTAGCTTCTGAGAATTGCGATATACTCTTTGAGTAAAACTTGTTCTCTGTCCTCCACTCCATTTAACAACATCTTCTGCCAGTTAAATTTTTCATCTTTCTCCCAGTGTGCTTCTGTGTCTGCTATTTCTTGTGTTGAACCGTTAGATTCTTTTTCATCTGCAAATGTTACATGTTTCACTGTGTGGTTATCTGGTTTCAATCTCTCACACAACTGATCATAACAGGAATGGGCTTCTGCCAGTTGAGCTTGAAGACTTCTATTTTGTTTCTCAACTTCTCTGTGTAGATTCTGAAGCTTCCCCAATTGTTCTTCCAGTTCTTCAACTCTGACGAACAGATTTTGTTTATCCGTGGTGAGATTGGCCTTTTCATCTTCCAATATACTTATTTTGACATGGAGATCATTGGATTCAGTTTTTGTTCTTTCGATTAAGGCAATCTGGGAAGCCATTGTGATCTCCAGATGAAGTACCTTGTTCACAAGCTCATCAATCTTTGTTGTTTGTTCAGAAACTGTTTGAATTTCCATGGAGTCTACATCTTCAGATGTCATGGTGTGGTCATTATTATCATGAAGTGACTCATATTTGAGGAATTTCAGTTTCTTGTCTGCATCTTCAATCTTTTGGGTCTCCTCTTTAGAATCTTTACAGCATTTATCTTGCTTCTCCTGCAACTGAGCCAAGCTCTCTTGGCATGATCTTAGTGTTGTTTCTGTTATTAGGTTCCCGGCCTTATCATTCTCGACATCCATTGTCACCACATATTCCTTTTGCAGATGCGAAAGTTTCTCCTGCATTTCCATTATTTGTTTCTCAATCTCCTGATATTTTGAAAGCCCGTGTTCGTATGAATTCCTCACAACCTCTTTTACGGCTTCGAGTGAACTTATTTCATTCTGGAGATTTTCAATCTCTTCAAGGGATTTGGCTTTTGTATCGGCATCTCCTGCATTATTGGAAAGATTCTTGGTTTGAAATGGCTTCTTTGGAGCCTTTGCGAACTTTGGGCCGCCAGATTCTTGGAGATTCTTGGAGTCTGTTTGGAAACCCGCAAATACTAGGGATGTAAATTAAGAATGAAAACACATATGAGAAAATGAAAATGGGCTTAAGCTCAATAAATTTTTATTTTAAATCTTTGTTGGTACTCACTTTATGTATGTGTTCCTTAAATAGAAGACTAACAAATCTAAATAATTAATATATGTAAATAAAATTAAGGAAAAGTTACCAAATAGGCACTTCTAATATAGCTAAACCAGCAATTACGCCCTCATACAAAAAAGCACTCAATCAAGTAATCAACCCCATAAACTTGAAAAAATGATCCGATTCTTCCCTTTAGTGGTTATTACTAACTAATTTGCAGATTATTTGTCCTTCGTGGTTATTACTAACTAATTCATGGAGTCAAGTTATTGATGCTTAGTTGTCTTCCATTTCATCATTTTAATTTCTTTTAACCTGTATTTCCTCTCCCCTTATTGTTTTGTCCCTGTTTATTTCTCTTTCCAGGGAAGCTTTAATTATTTTACCTCTTCATCCAGATTTCCCCTCTTTTTTTTTTCTTTTCCTGCACAATTTTTGTCCTTATGCACGTTACACTCTTAATTTATTGTATTTTAGTTTTTAATGTTTTTTTAATAAGTGAAGTCTCTGTAATCTCAGAAAGTTAAATACACTACTCCCTCCGTCCCAAAAAATTGTTCCCGGTTTCCTTTTTGGGCCGTCCCAAAAAATTGTTCCACTTTCCCCTTTTGGAAAGTTTTGTGTGGCTCACATTCATTTACCTTTTTCTTACACAACCACAACCATATATTTCCATTTTATTCCCACTTTCTTAAACTCTGATCCAAGTCAATGCGGGAACAATTTTTTGGGACGGAGGGAGGTAGTATATGTTAAAAATTTGATATCATTTTTCCAGGCAGTTAAAAGCAACCATAAAAGCTTTGCATGACCTTTTTGTTCTTTACCATAGCATTTTATGGATCTAAACAAACCTCTGGGGAATCTAGGAGAATCTTGTGGATTTTTGGAAAGTTTCGGGGAACAGAAGTCGTCTTCGTCTTCTTCCATCACCATCTGGATTTGTTCGGGGATGACAGTAGCGATGGTGTGATTGGCAGTATGCAAGTCTTTGGATAGCTTATCATACCTGTTAAAATATGGAAAGTAGATTTGTCAGTATTCCTAACTCGTTTTGGTGATGTTTTGAATTGGTTTAAGTTTCTAATCCGTATCAAGATTAGGCCTGTTATTTTTGTACATAACAACTGTAAGGGTCTAAAGACTATGAAGCTGCAAGTTACTAGCAAGCATTTCATCAAAGGCAGTGATTTGACTATACCTTTCGGCTAAAGCCCGGAAGGCGCGGTAAGCTTCTTCAACAGAGCTTATGAGCTCTGGTCTTCTTTTGTAATACATTTCTGCTCTCTTGGCAAATGAATCGCCTTCTTGTTCTATCATTTTCAGCATGCATTGCACCTTCTCCTCCATATCTACATTACCGCTTCTAGTTACAATGTACTCAGTTAAAGTGTTAAACTTCCCACCCACTCTCATAGGACAGGTTTGACACTGATGTATTGTTTCATTTTAGTCGGTATGTGTTGCAGTAGCGCATGTAATGGGCAGGACAATTTAATGTCATATTAAACATTCCTAATTGAGAATATGTTGGAATAAAGCAAAATGGTTCACTAATAAACTGTATGCGCTTCTTTGTTATGAAGCAGCGGTCAGTCCATGCAATTTTAGACGCGATGTTCACTATGGGTCATCCGGAAACAATCTCTCTGTGCTTTAGTACAGGGGTAAGACTGCGTACATCTGACATCCCCTTACCCCACCGTAGGTGGGAGCCTTTGTGGCACTGGGTAATGATGATGATTAAATATGCCTAATTGTATCATAAAATCATCAAATGCGAGCCAATTAGATTTATGATGCATATAGTAGGTACTTTGGCTCTTCATTCATTTTATTATCTGGTGTTTAAGGAACTCCATGCATGTGATTGAATGCATGGACATTTCATTAAACCCCCTAGCTCCTTTGAGATTACACAGTTGACCATTTTGTCTCTCTAAAGGACATGCATATATTCTCATGATCAAATGAGAATATTTTTTAGAGAAAACTCACATTTACCTCAATATGATGCACAATGAGACTTGTCCGTTGCATTTTTTGCATTAAAAATAGTATTTATTAAAATGGCACACAATATTTAATATTGACTTGATTTGAGTAGAATTAAAAGTGCAATAGATGACATCTATTGTGCATCACATTACATTAAATGTGTGTGTTCTCTCGTTAAGCATTATTCTAAATGGAATCGCACTGTATATATAGAATTTAGATCAAATAAAAAGGCTAGAGCATCAAATTTAAGATCGAATTGTTCTAAATATGTCAAAAATGCCAAGTGGATAAAAATGCGGTGATAGTTTTATAAATAAATCAAAAAATTTATTCTTTGCGAAAAGTAGACTTCCTGTATGTAATAGTGTATGTAAATGATGAAAAGTGAATGACCGAAAACTTCTCAATACAATAGTGCTCCTCAAATGCTCAAAACTAGAGATGTTTGCACTTTGCACGGAGGGCCCTACTTGTTTTTTTGTAACCAGACCCTATTTTTAGTTTCTGGACCCTATATACATGATCATGATTGTGTTCAACTCTGCCGGTAGGGTTATATACGAATCAAATCATTTATGATTAATTCGGGATTCGAATTCGTATAAGACGATTCAAATTTGAAATATTCAAATATAAATACAAACAAGAATACTAAATTTGATTCGAATTGTTATCAAATATAAATATGAATATCAGTTGTTGAGATATATTATCCCGGTCTGTTACCTTTCAGGAGTCCAAGACTGTACGCAGTACGGAGCCTGATCAGTGAGGCCCGTTTTAGCTTATTAGGCTTGTTTCGGCCTTTGGGCCCTTTCGGCCCACTTGGCCCATTAGGGTAGATTTGTTCCCCTTCCCTTATTCCCTATAAATAGGAGGTTTTCCCTCCATGTAAAGGGGATTTTGGGTTGATATCTTCTTCCCCACTTCTCCTCCTTCTCTCTAGAATAGATTAGCTAGCTTTATCCTCCATTAATGGAGCTTGAATATTGTACTATGTAATGGTGAGGAGAGTCCTAATGAGAAAGAGAGGTCTTGGACATAGGCTAAAAAGTCTCGTAGTTTTCTCCCTTTCGGGTTTCCACGTAAAAAGAGCTTGTTCATACACATTTATATATATATTTACTATATCGTGTTGGATTAAACTCAACATCAGTATATTCGCTTGAAATGTTAATCAAATATATTTGATTAATAATGGTTAGAATCTAAATAATAATAGTAATAGTAATAACAGTAGTAATAACATTATAATAACTTTTAAAAACTAGCTATCTATACCCTCAAAGTGTAGCTCATATATACATTTACGTATTCACATTTTAAGCTATGTTTAAAAAACCGACCCGACCCGGCCGGGTTGACCCGGAACCCGGTGACCCGGACAAAAAACCGGTTCGGTTTTTTCAAAACCCGAAAACGGTCAAAAACCGGAAAAACTCGGCTGACCCGGGAAAACCCAGTCAAGACCCGGACCCAAGAAACCCGAAAAACCCGGTAAAACCCAGTTTTTGGCTGTTTTTACCAAAAAAGTAATTTCTTTTTTATTTTTAATGCATTTTTTATACCAATAAAATTGCAATTTCAATACCTTAAAAAGAAAAATTACGTAATATATTTATATATTTATTTAAGAATGAACATCATGCCAAATTATAATATAGATGTACCATAAAAATAAAAATATCATTATATATTTTTATAAGATCAAAATATATATTGAAATATTATAAGAGTGTATTAAATGCTTAATAAGTAGTATTGTTAGTTGATTATTATGAATAATAACTAAATTTTATTATAATTATATATATAATTATATGTTTACTATTATTATATAGACGTATAATCATTGACCGGTTTCTGGCGTTGACCGGGTTGACCCACCGGGTCCGGGTTGACCCGTGACCCAGTCATGTGGCCGGGTCACTCTCCGGTCCGGTTTTTACAACATAGATTTTAAGCCAATTACTAATAAACCAGAAGTATCATAAGGAGTAAAGGATGTAAAAGAAACAAATAATTTTTATTTGATTTGTGATTTGGGTTCATAAATTATGATTTAAATTTGAAAATATAGAATACAAATCAAAGCGCCATCCGGCCACCTCAATTTGAGGTGCTTCTGAATGATTTTTTTTAATGAAATATCTCAATTTGAGATGCTTCGTGAAGTGTAGATTCTGACCATAAAATTTAAGTTTAGAATACAATCGAGAAGTCAATTAAATAAATTGTAGAAAACAATGCGCTTGAATATATATATATATATATATATATGTGTGTGTGTGTGTGTGTGTGTGTGTGTAGGGGTGGTTCGGTACGGTATACCTTATATTTTTTCTCATACCTTTGTCGTACCAAAACTTTCGGTATGCAAAATTTTCATACCTTTACCTTACCGAAGTTTCGGTATACCGCATTTCGGTATACCGAAATTTCGGTTCGGTAACGGTACGGTATCGGTAAATTACCGTGCATGTCTCTCAATACAAAAAATTATCATAGGCTAACGAAATATACTAAATCGTTATTATTAGCGACATATTAAATCTATTATTAAAATGTTATGAAATACAATTAATAATCTATTGATGTCAATTCAATATTGAACAATAATTATTATTAGTATATTTAAGCAGTTCAACATGCCACATATTAAAAAGTAACACATTCTCCTAAAATAACCTGAACAATATAGATATAATTAAATCAATAGTGATCGCTAACAAAAATAAATAAAACTATTCAAACAACATGGATATAAATCATTTATTCCTAATATGATATTGTGTATTTAGTCATTTTTATAATTTTTTAAAAATTGAATGAGACTTTCAGAAAAAGTTGTGTGTCTCGACTCGCGGAATCCCTATGTAGATACATTTGTCACATAACTGTATCTCTCTTCACTCGTCAGTTACTTAGCGGCCCAACTATCACGATTTGCAAGCTCTTGGAACAAGATGAAATTTTCTCTTGACATTTATACATTACTCCCCATTAGTCATTAAGGTTAGCGTAGTAGAAGCCTATAAGGTTATAGTGGGTTTGAGAAATTGGGCCTTTATTTTTGTATTTTTGTATTTGTAACCAACTTAAGTATTAATTTTGGGCTTCAAAATTGTAATGAATTTTTACAATATATTAGAATTAACAACAATTGTTGACTAGGGAGTTGGTACGGTATTATAGCGGTATACCGCGGTATTTGAAAACATTTACCGTTACCGTACCGGAATAGATCGGTACGGTATGATACCATACCGAAAATGACGGTATACCAATATTTCGGTATTTTCCGGTATTTTTCGGTACGGTAAGTGCGGTATACCGATTTTTCGGTATTTTTGCCCACCCCTATGTGTGTGTGTGTGTGTGTGTGTGTGTGTATACACACACACACACACACACACACACACACACACACATATATATATATATAGAGAGAGAGAGAGGAATGTTCAGGTCCGAACATTCCCCGTCCGAGCACCGTCCGAACATGGACGTTTGGGACACTTCGCGGTCGAATTTTCTGATGAAATATTTTGAGCATGTTCTTCATCAAGTCTAGTTTGTCCACACCAAATTTCAGCTCACAATTCGATCGGGAAGACATTCAAATAATTTTTTGAAGTTGACTGCGTCAAAATATACATATAAAAACGCAGTTAACTTCAAAAAATGATTTGAATGCCTTCCAGATCGAATTTTGAGCTGAAATTTAGTATGGACAAACTAGACTTGATGTGGAACATTCTCAAAAACTTTCATCAAAAAATTCCACCAGAAAGGGCCCCAAACGAGGATGTTCGGACGGAGGCTTCTGTCCGAACGTTTGGACCTGATCATTCTTGTGTGTGTCTATATATATATATAGGGAACTCTTCCGGTAAGGTATACCTTACCGGAGCCGCCGTGCGGCGTCCACGTTTGGAGGGCCTTCCGGGTGGAATTTTTCAATGAAATGTTTTGAGCATGTTCTTCATCAAGTCTAGCACAGACATACCAAATTTCAGCAAAAAATTAAATCGGGAAGACAGTCAAATGATTTTTGGATCGGAAGATAATTGCACCCTTTATATACATATAAAACGCAGTTATCTTCCAAAAATCGTTTGACTGCCTTCCCAATTGAATTTTTTGCTGAACTTTGGTATGAATGTACTAGACTTGATGAAGAACATGCTCAAAAAATTTCATCGAAAATTTCCACCGGAAAGGACCTCAAAACGTGGAGGCCGCACGGTGGCTCCGGTAAGGTATATCTTACATGAAGATTTTCCTATATATATATATATATATATATATATATATATATATGTATGTATATATGTATGTATGTATATATAGACAAATCTTCATGTCAGGCCGGCCTGACGGGATGCTCCGTCCGGCCGAGGGAATTTCGGGCACTTCCCGGTGTAATTTTTTGATGAAATTTTTTGAGCATGTTCTTCATGAAGTCTAGTTTATCCATACCAAATTTCAGCTAAAAATTCAATCGGGAAGACACTCAAATAATTTCTTGAAGTTAACTAGGCAGTTCAAACAACTCTTACCCTTGATTTTGTAATTTTGGACAGATGAGATGAATTTGCCTTTTGTACCGGAAGCACACTTTGTTTCACAATTTATTTATGTACCCACCACCTCCATATGGAAGAGTCATGAGTTTTGTAATGATTAGTCTTATTTGTGGACTAATACGAGCAAAAACAACAATACAATTGCATACAACATGATAATAAAAAATTGGGGTTTTTGTAATTGATGTTTGTTCTTCTAAGAGAAAAGAGTCAAATAAAGCTTTCTACTATTATGAAATCGTCACATGAGGCCATATACTCAATAAAGTGTCGTATAAATGTGTCTACTAGTAAAAAACAATTAAATAAGGACTCATTTGATTGTTTCTTATAAGTTATAAGTAGACGTATTTATATGACACTTTATTGAGTGCATGACCTTATGTGATGATTTCATAATAGTAGAAGACCTTATTTGACTATTTTCTCTTCTTCTTAATTACACATATTCTGATCTAGCTTTTCTGTGTGAAGAGTGAGTGTTGTGCTTTAAATAAAATATAGAAACTAGGTAGGTAGGTACATACCATGAAGACTATGATCAAGCCACTTGGACTGTTTGGTCCTAATGTGGCTGGCATACCACCATGAATAGGCATTGCTTGCAGCAGCAGCCCTTTGCACCCCCATCTGACGATCCTTCTCTTCCTGCTAGCTCGATCTCTTTTAATTCTTCTTCTTCGATCTGCCTCCTCGATCTATTGAGTCCTGCTAGAAATTAAATTCGGGAAACTCTTTCCCCTTCCTCAGACAATCATAATAATATCATCACAGGAAATGAGAAAGAGTTTTAGATTACAACAGGCCGGGTGTCCGACAATCAAGAATAGAGATTACCCCTTCGATCCATGGAGATGAAAAATTGGTCCCTTTACCCTTCCCATTGATATTTATGGGTTTCTGGTTGGGAGAGATTGTTGGTCCTAAGCATTTGTATTACCCTACAATCAATATGCATTGCGTGCATGGATGGCTGTTCCGTTTAAGCGTATCCATCTCCGCAGGCTGTAAATGTTTTACTTTTATTTGTTAAAGAGACAACTCATTAAAATAAAATTTTATGTGTCCTCTCCACGATTCTCTCCTTCATTATATAGATGCCATGTGGCAAATTCTACCATTTTGCA